ACGAATCGGGCGGTGTCGCCATTGTCCGACTCAACCTCAATCATCTCAACCTCATCAACCATTTTCACATGTCTTTATTGTAGTGGATCAATAATACTCCTCCATAATTAATATAATAAAATGATTGACTCATATTAGTGATGGCTTGTAACCGTCGAAGGATCGGGACCAACCGAAAACGGAACCCCGGTGGGTTATAATCCGGTTACAATATTTGTCGTTTTTTAGGCCCGAGACCGACCGGAACCGGGACCGGTTATGGACCGGAACTGTTTTTATCATAACCGGCGATCCACACTGTTTTGAAAGACTTATCATGGACCATCATCATCATGATGTATAACGCCATCACTCTATGCACGGATCCTAATGCTTAAGATATCACCATCGCATGGTACTTAGAAATTCGGTGCAACCACATTAACTGATTTCCTTGACTAATATATTGATGACAAAATTAATAAATAGTTCTATAAAATTTTCAATAAATATCTGTACTATCTTATAAAGCAGATTTGATAAAAACAACCTTAAAAATGCATAAGGTACTGCTTTTTTATGCATAAAGTATTAATTACAAGTCATTTATGCATATAGTACGACTCAACAATGTTTCACGTTTTACAACTTATACTTTTAAGTTTTATCTTTTCCATATTTAGTTTTGTTTCCCAATAGACATTGAGAATTTAAACCATCTACCCCTTTCAAATTTTGACCCTTTATGTTCTCAAGATTTTCATCTTACCATCAAAAACTCTCTTACCATTTTAAATATAAACCTCAAATTTTCATAATTCACAACTGAGTTTTCTCAATCACCTCCATTGCCCCAGCTACATTCTTCCTCGCCTCCGTTGTTTCTCGTCGTCTCTCCTCCGGTCACACCGACACTCTTACAACTTTCACACGTTTTTATACTTGTATAAAAGTCTTCCTTTAGCTTTCCATTTTACTACTAGGGTTTGAGCTACCTGCTTATTTTAAAGGTTGGCATTTCGGAGCTCCGGATCTACATTTACAATATTTGTATACATTAACAATCCCATTTGCTTTTAAGGGTTTTTTTGATTCATTATATTCGAGATGGGTTGTGATTCGGGTTGAGTATCTTGCTCCACTGGTCCAGTCATTCGGGTTGTGATTAAGGGTTTAAGAATAAATTATAGAACTTACTAACACCATCATTTTGGATGGATGCATATTTGAATCTAAATTAGATATTAATGTAGTAGGCTTTGTTACATCTTTAAGAAATTTGATATCTCAAAATTGAATAATCTTAATAAGCTTTTTTACATCCCGCTACATTGCGCGGGTAGACAACTAGTATATCCAAGATAGTTTGGATGCATCTTACAACAACAAGATCGAGTTTATATGATACAAATAATGTCTAATGGGTCGTTTACTAAATGCTTATCCAGTGAGTGCTTACCGGGTAATATTTTTTTACTAGATGAACATGGTAAGGGTTTAGAATCTTACCCGGTTAGAGATGTAAAATGATGAAAAATCTTATCCGGTAAGAGTGGTGAAAGGATGGAGAGTCTTACCCAGTAAGTAAGAGTGACAACTCTTACTTGGGTAAGTGCTTATCGGATAAATTGTTGCATACTATATCGGTTGGTGTAGAATGATTAGGTGGTCAGAATGATTAAGAGGCTCTCATGATATAGTACAAAATGAAATATAATTGTTTGTTAATTATGTACAATAAAATTAGGGCTCTTAATGGTTAAGGGAGATCCAGGATACATAATCATTCAGATGATTTTAAAACCATTAAGAGACAAACTTTTTTTTTGCCAAACAAGATTCAGCTCTTAACAATTCAGAGGTTGCCTCTTAATGAAACTATTAAGAAGTAAACAAACAACCCCCACTCGCCCAAACTGTTCAGTAACTCTGACAACTACAAATAGACTGGAGTCATCACAAATGAACCTTCATAATGATAAGGGTTTTGACAACGCTTAAATTCGAACCTGCGGTGGATTATATTTGATTTCATTCAAAAAATTAATGGTTAGGGTTTTCATTTTTTTAGAAGACCAACCGACACAATGCTATGCAAGTCTGTAAAAACATTATATGGGTAAAATAGTCATCATCCATATATAACAGTCATCACTTTTAAGTGGTCCATTTTCAATTCATTTGAAAGACTTCAAAAAAGTTGATGTAACAATATTAAGAAAAAGGAAAAAATAAAAAAGCCCTATAAATTAGGGGTGAACATAGACAGGTACATGTCCTATTTGATAGGAACCGGAACCGACGGTTTTTGAAATATTGGAATCGGAACCGGTTAGAGCGATTCTTGAATTTTTGGAACCGGAACTGGAACTGCCGGGAACCGGTTCCGGGTACTCGCTTCCTAAAATATTAAAATTTTGTTATTTTGAAATGAAACATTGCTAAAACACTAAATAAACAAACAAGAATACAAATTATACAGAATAATAGTTACAAATATTGTTTAACGATTACAAACCATAATAGACTAATAGTAAATGTTGAAAGTTTAACGATTACATACTATAACTGTAAATGTTCAAAGTTTAACGATTACATACTACGAATCCAATTAAATACACAATTTGAGTATGAGTCCATGAGGCGCAGAGGCGGGACCAAAAATGTAATCTAGAATTCTAAGTTTTTGACCTAATTTAAATTTAGTATTAAAAAAAATTAATTATTTTTTTAATTGAAAAATACCGGGTATCCGCCGGTTACGGGTACCCGGTCCCAGAAACGGTCCCGACGGGTACCCAATGGGTAACAGTTCCAAAAAATTGAGAACCGGAACCATTCTCAATCGGTTCCGTATTTTAGGAACCGGAACCACTCATATCGGTTCCGGTTCCGGTTCCGGAACCGGCAGTTCCAAACCAGTTCCGCAAGTGGGTACCCGGTTCCGCTGCTCACCCCTACCATAAATTATCATATTTTGAGTGATCAAATCTTTAAGGGTCTTTGAACAAATAAATTTTTAAACTTACTAAGTATAAAAAATTAACGAACTTTCGTATTTTGAACTATTAAGTCTCTGAACATTATTTTGAACGAATAAATCATGAAACTGATTGAAAGACGTGTGATCTCTCTTCCATGTATGTAAATATCAATATGAATATATAATGAACCAATAAAATGAAAATAATATACCATTTTTATTAGTCATGCATCGTTTATTTTTCATGTTCAAATGATGGTCACAAGTGTTTGTTATGATCATGTGATTGTCATTTGAATCTAAAAAATTATTACCTTGTTTTTATAATTATCATCTGAATATGAAAATAAATAATGGATAATGGTAATTAATCATTTCTTTTTACTGGTTTATTGTACATTGTTACTGATCTATTAATACATTCACAGATAAGTGATATATTCTTTCGTTTTATAAGTGTAAATACATGGTTCAAAAAACGGATAACGTACTTAATCGTTTAAAGTAATGGAAGTTTGTTGGGTTTCTTTGGTTTAAAAATAGTTTAAGGATTTATTTGTTCAATAAAAAATTTAAAGACTTAAGGGTCGTTTACCAAACGTTTACTCGGGTAAGTGAACACCTAGTCATATTACTTTACCGGATGAATATGGTAAGGACCAAGAATCTTACCCGGTAAAAGCGAGACAAGGACCAAAAGTTTTACCCGGTAAGTGATGGCGACGACTCTTACCCCGGTAAGCGCTTACCGGGGATTTTTATTCTTTCTTGGATTTGAACCTGGAAAACTTTTAAAAATTGGTGACGAGGCTTTTTTAGTTTTCTTTTTACTTTGAAACCTACCTACCCTGTTTCACGAAGTTTTTTTTGTTAAAAAGATGTAGGTAATCAATTTATAAGAGTTCAATGGTTTATTTATTCAAAATATATATTCAGGGACTTAATCATTCAAATAAAAAGGTTTAATGGTTTTTCCCTAAAACTCTTATTGTTTTATTGTTGAGTGGGGCTTTGAGGGTATTATTAGGGTCGTTTACCAACATTTGTAAGCGATTACCGGGTAAGATTTATCACTCTCAATTACCTTACCGAGTAAAATTATTGGTAAATATTAGGTCGGTAAGCATTAACCAAGTAAGAGTCTGTCATCTCACCTTCACTTACCATGTAAGATTCTTAGGGACCATTTATCAAATGCTTATTAGGTAAGCACTTATCGAGAAGAGACATCACCATTACTTACCTTATCGTGTAACATTCTCGGCCATAAAAATAGATTGTTGGTAAGAGACTAAGGTGCCGTTTACTAGACGCTTACCCGGATAGCACTTACCAAGTCACTTCACTTTACCGGATGAGTATGACAAAGACTAAAAAACTTACCTAGTAAGAGCGAATGCAAGAATCGAGAGTCTTACCCAGTAAGTGAGGACGAAGACTCTTATCATGATTAGCACTTATCGGGATAAATTGTTGCATACAATGTGTTTTAGTGAATAAAATCTTACTCGGTACGTAAAGTAATAGTGTTGAATTTTGCACGCAAGTGATTACCGGGTAAGTGTTTAGGTAAACGGCCCCTAAGAGTCTTGAACCCGATAAGCGCTTACCATGTAAGAATCTTTTTTCTCAATTACTGGATAAGACTCTCGATCATTGCTATGTTTCTTACCGGGTAAGATTCCTCGTTATTGCCATGCTCTGATGCTCAGTCGGTAAGGTAAGTAATATCGATATACACCCAATAAGTAATTTAATAAACGGGTCCTTGTCCACAAAAATTATAATAAAATTATTAACAAACACCATCAATTTTTACAGATAAACATCAGCAACAATAAATGTTTAGTTACCTAGTGAAAGACGTAAACATGTCAGAAGATTAGATGGGACAGAGACAGGGTTTCACTGATCGCAAGAAATGCGCGTTAGACACAAACAAATCAATGAGCCTACTCGAATCTCTTAAAAAGATAAATTACAATAATGAGATAACCATACACGACAGACTAATATTAGTAGTAATATACAGTGTACAACTTTTACTACGCGATATAGAAATCTAGCATTCGATCTTGGTCATTTAACGGCACGAAAATGAAGTGCCTGCATTCGGCATGCTCAATAACCTACTTAGATGTTCCTAAACTCAACCAAACAACCCTTTGGCTGTTCTTCCAAACATGTTACCAACCTGCACAATATTTTAAAATGGTCTCAACCATCCCCATCCAAGTAATTTGTTGTATTTAACAGATTTCTTCCTTATTTTAAAAAACTAATGAAATGTGTCCTTGTAGTTGCAGTTTTTTTACGAACTGGGTCCCTATATAAATTAACAACATTAGGGACCCAGTTCATTAATGAAAATGCAACCACAAGATCCCAGTTTGTTAATTTTTCAATATAGGATTAAAAACACCAAGCCGTTGTGACGAAAAATGTAATTCACTCTTAAGTTTATGATAGATGTTCATGATCACAGTATTGAATTGGTTAATGTTACTGAATTTTTTGAATTTTTGTATTTGATTTTTCATTGCAAACTAACAGTTGTCGAACTCGGCATCTTTTTCGCGAGATCTTTTTGCATTTCTTGGAAAATAAAGGTCTATTAGAACACATGGTTACCTGCTTGGATGAAAGGCCTATCTTCTCCAAATCATTGAGCTGCATAAGTATAACATATCAGCCATTATGGCAATACCAAATCACATCCCCTTCAAGGATATGCATAGATTATATAAGCTGCATATGTATGTGTATCATGAATGTATGTATGGATATGTATAGATTATATGTGACCATCATCTTGTCAAAAATACCACAATATGACCATCATTTTGCCCAACCAACCATCATTTTATGGTTTCCATTTTCATTACCACCCTCTTATACTCCCAACCAAGCACCCCTCTTAAGTATGCCATCAACCAATGTGTAAAACCCCACCTTGTTAATGTGGTTTAGTATGACCGAAAACGATAACTTGTGAGAAGACACTTACCGATTTCAATGGACTCGTATCTCTAAGCTCAAGTATGTATTCAGCCATCTTTTCTCCAATTCCCTGAAAGAGATTGATAGCATAAAAGTATCAATTGTAGTGAAAACTTATGTTCTTTGATTGCTTCTTATAATAATAGCATACATACCTTCAGCTGCAGCAGCTCCATCCTGGTTTGGGAAATAGAGACATAATACTTCTCTTTAGAACAACATACATTCATAACAATTCTAAGGCACCAAGAGCACGTAACAAGACTGATTACTTACTTGCTCGCTATGTTTAGGAAGTTGATGTATTCTTGGGCAAGAGTTGTCTGCAGAATGATTCCAATGGATGGATAAGTCAGGTACAAGAATAAAAACTGTTAACAGGCTCACGTCTGCTACACTTGGACCAACTCTCCTCAGTATACGTTGGAAAAGAGGCGGACCAATAAATTTTTTCAAGTGGTGCACCATTAGACTATAAGGAAGAAAACTACAGAAGCTTTTCACAAAATCTTCGTAGATTTGCTATAGAAAAAAACACAAAGTTAAATGCCGAAAAATAAGAAATTTGCTAAACATAGGATAGAACCCGTGCCCTTCGAAAGGGGTAACTTACACCAACTCTATCACAACAAACTCGTGTCATTAGTTTAGTTTTAAAAAGTATAAGGGCACACCACAAAACGTTCTAGTGGCCTTCTTCAGGAACGTAATTTTGTTTCCATTATGATAGAACCATGAAGTGATGGCATGGGCCACTGCATGCCCCTGTATAGGTCTGCCCATGTGTTGGAACCTCCATCCTCAGGGCTTCTTTTAGAGTAATCTACATGGGGTTCCACATATTCTCACAAAAACAAACAAAATCACATGGACAAGAGTGCACAGAGATCACAGATTAGTATAATTCATACCTTCAAATTACAACTCATTGCTTTAAATGTATTGAGTGGAGTGTTGGTATTTTCAGTCTTATCATCTGAAACAAACTGTTTGGGAGTCATTGGATCAGAAACAGCCATGCAGATGTCATCCATGTTTTCATTGGATTTGATTGGAGATAGAACGTTCCTCGACTCGTGAGTTCTTTCACTTGTTAGCCACGATCCAAGGGAATCCTCTTTGATCATGGGCATGGTTGCATTTTCAACATTATGTGCCTGTTGGTCTGATGCATAGAAACAGCTGCTAGTTAATATTTTGAACCTTCTGGTTTCCATGAGTCTAGTCTTAAGCATCTTGAAATAATACCTAATGTGCATGAAGTTGATTCTAACAAAATTTTGTCCCCAGAAAGCAGCAACTTTTTGCTTATTTTATTCTTGTAAGCTGTTTCATCTGTCCCCATTAAGCAACTTATGAAACCTTCATTATTTGACCTGCAAAGTAATAGTTGTATTGAGAACTGATGAAAATATTTATAATTTGAATGAACATTTTACACAGATGCCATACCTCCCTTTCGGGTTCACAAAGCTTTTACTGCTAATTGCCTTGGGTTTTCCAGAACTCTGGAATGTATTGAGCTTCTTCATAGAGGTTATAGAACAAGGAGTTCTAGTGAGCGGTGGAGAACGAAATCTTTCCTGTAGCTGAGTGCTCTTTGTCTTGCCTTTAGATTCAAGCCATGCCCGAAGCTTTTCCTCCATGTCAACTTGAATATTTGAGGTATTATGCTTCTGAGCTGAGTGCACAGAATTGGATATGCGCCGGGACCTAGCTGCCAAACTAACTGTATGAACAGATTGTTCATACTCCCCAGGATTCTGGTAACATAAGAAACAGTTCAAATGAAAGTTGAGGCCCCCAAAAACACAAATTATAAAAACCAAACGAGCACGGTATATTCCACCAGTAGGTGGGTTCTGGGAAGGGTGGGATATACACACTGAGTAAAGCGGTTGTTTCTGTGAACACCCATGCTAGTGAAAGTAAGCAAAAGAAAGACAAATTAATAAGAAACGAAAAAGGTTGTCCTACCAGACAAGCGACCATTAAAGCATGACTTGTTCCCCCTAGTGAATCCTGCAAAATCCGTGTCAACTTGCTATCTCGGTAGGGAATTCGGCTATTGTTGTTGTTGAGTGCATAAATTACATTTGACAATGCAAACAGGGATTGATTGATCTTTGTACTCTCTAGAAGTCGAACACCTTCATTACCCGTCTTCCTATTATCTTCATTGCCTGATGGGAACATACATGCAGTTCAGCAAATGCATTTTTACAGCATACAATCAGAAACAAGTTTAAGGAAAACCTGCTAAATCAATAAGGTTTAGTTTCCCAATCATGGTATTCCCAGGACCATTTTCACAAGGTCTTGAAACCGAAATGACTAGTACCCCATGGCTTCTACTAGAGACGTCATTAAGACTTGTGTGTGCAACTTTTCGCCTCTGCATTCCAAAGAAAAAGGCCTCCTGAAAATCAAGCATCGAATGGATTGGGATTTTGGCAAGTCTTTTGAGATGAGGATGTCCATCTTTATCATCAAAAATGGCAATTTCCTTTGTTTTGACTTCCAAAAGATCATAACACCTCTCCATGTATATTTCGTAGTATGAAATTTCTACAGTTCTCCCCATGTTCTCGCACATAGAGAGTATGGTTGATGCTGCCATTGGCATTAGACCGGGCAGCTCATCAGTTCCCTGCATTTAATCAACCACTTTTTATTATTTTCTATCTATTTGTATCCCTGCTTATATTCAACAAGTAAGAGCTGAAATACAGAATGAACATCCTCTTAAGAAAATTCAAACAACAGAATATCAGTGTTTAGTCCTAAGTATTTGAGATAACATTTTTCTTTCTTTGGTACCACATCTTTGTAGTTTGAACATAAACCAGCTTAGCACCGAATCAAAATTAGGGGCCGTTTACTTAAACACTTACTTGGTAAGCGCTTACCAGTAAAATTCAACAATATCACTTACTTACTTGGTAAGATTTTAGTCCACCAAAATGGCATTGTATGCAACAATTTAGCCATTAAACACTAACCATGGTAAGAGCCGTCGTCCTTACTTACCGGGTAAGACTCTCGGTCCTGCTTTTCACTCTTACCAGGTAAGATTTTTGGTATTTGTCATATTCATCCAGTAAGGTAATATGTTTTGGTAAGCGCTTAGCCGGGTAAGCGTTTGATAAACGGCCCCTTAGTCAATGAAATAAGAACAAACCTGCATTGTAAAAGTCTTCCCACTACCAGTAGCACCGTAAGCAAACACAGTGGCATTGGAACCATTTAGTAATGCAGGAATCAGAGGCATCACTTCTCTTTCAAAGATTTGCCTCACATTGTTATCTTCTTGGCCATAAAATGAATCTAGCTTGTAACTCGCATTACGACTGCAAAAACAAAACAAAAAAACTGTTTTGACACTTTGGATCTAGCTAAAGGTACCAACATAATAAGCAAAAGAACAGAAAGACATTAATCTCAATGGGGTTTACTTATTGCAGTCACAAACTCAATGGAGACCTGGATATTCAAATGCGAGTTTGGCTTGTTCTTATCAAAAACCCATCATATGACCTTTTTTGTTTACTGAAACTACCCTTTATAAAAAGTTTCAAAAATTACTTTGGTTCAACCCCATAGCACAGAATGTATAAAGGAGATGTACATAAATTAAGATTGAGACTGTATGTGCAACAAATGGTAACACAAGAGAAGGCAAAATTAATGGGAATATATACATACGAAGAGTATGGATCTTTGAGGTGAACAGTAACTTCTGAGGCAGATTCTAGTGGTGAATCAAGGATGGATACACAAGGGATTGGTTTGTCGATAGCAATATCACCGGAACCAGAACCCTCATGAGGCAGGAATGGACGAACTCGCACAATTACCCGAACCATTGAGACCGAATCATTAGGCAAATGCTTTGTAGGAGTGCACAGATCTGAATTCTCAGTTTGAGATGATGCTGTAATCGAAGAATTTAGTTGGGGAGTTGCCATTGGAGGAACAACAGAAGCATTCGACGCACACAGAGACTAAATTGGCGAAGAAATTGCAACAAATGGATCGAAAACAGTTGAATTAAGGAAAAGTTGATCGTGATATTGTTCGTTAGTCTAGGTTTAGCAAGCAAAGCGAATTGGTGGTATAAAGAGGATTTGACCGTTAAGAAAAGTTTGTCTTTGGGTTTGAAATTTGAATTGGCAGTACCTGGTGTGTGGGTCATGCGGACTACGTTGACGATCGAGACTTCACGTCATACAATATATTTTCTTATTTCAAATTCACTTGTACAACAAATACAATGTAATTAATTAAAATATTTATGAAAATAATGAAAGTTTATTTATTATGATTTAAATATTTATGAAAAATGAATAGAGTTCATTAATTATGATTAACATTTTATATTAGAAAACAATAAAACTTTTATAAAATCACATATTCATTAAATTAAATGGACAGTTGAAATTGAGTTGTATTAATTATATAAATGTAAAAGGTTGCATAATAACTCACCACTATAAAGTAATTATACCTTGTAAATGTAATATATGTTTAATCATATATTAAATATATAATACGTGTTTAATCATATATAATTAAGCTTGTGTATCAGACATGTATTCTCATATGATATTGAATTTCTTTTTTTTGTTTTCTTGTGGAATGTTTAACTTCTCGTTTGAACCTAATCTGATCAACCCAAAATAACCAAAATTGATTTTATCTGCTACCTAATTCAGTTAGTAAAATATTTAAACTGTATGTATTGAGTTGGAATTAGGTTAATGGTTATTTGAACCTAACTCAACCTGATGAATCTAATATATTTTTATTTTTTGAATTTAATATGATTATTAAATCACTTACTAATGTATATATTAGACAATTATACCATTACAAATTATCATATATATAGGGGTTCAATCAAATGAGTATCACAAAAAAGTTGAGAACTGTGAGGACCAATCTAAACCTTAATTTAGTTTTGATCGTATGATTTTAATTGAAAGTTGTTTTTAATTAAAAAAATGGCATAATCGTCATTTTGATAACAAGATTCACCAGATGAAACACACAGATTCATCATATGAACCACAAATATTCACCATATGAAATACAAATATTCACCATATGAAATACATAGATTCATCATATGAAACACGCAGACACACAAATTCATCACATAAAGTCAAACACAATTTACTAGAAACAGAATAATCGATAACCGATTTGTTCTTTGTAGAGGTCACTAGATGTTGATGTGTCTTCGATTTTGCGAATTCGTGGTGAGGGAAATCGATCATCAAAGGGTTTCCTAGCGGTGAGAATCGTACGATTAAGGAACAGAGGAAGTTGCAATGGCGAAGCTCTGGCCAGTTCGCTCCAAGATTTAACAAATCCCATCTAGATACAACCAAAAAACTTAAGAAGAGACTATGGATTAGATGATTGAATTCGAGAAAGGGTCGTTAAAGAAAATGGAGAATTCGAGAAGTTAGGATTTTAAAGTGGACTATAACATGCTTTTCAATCCATCATAAGGTGGACCAACGGCGGCCATCAAACGTACTCGTTCCAGAATTCTCTTTCGTCTACAATATGTATCATATGAAATCGAATGACTGAAGAACCGATCGATCAGATGAACATAATAATGAGAAATTAGGTATTTTCGACGTGGAATTTTGCATAAGAATTCGCCATTTAAATCGAAAGTAATCAAGTTTTTTTACATCGATTTAGAGGTGGTATGAATATGAGATGATAAAGGACGGTTGAAGTTGAAACAGAAACACATATTGACTGAGTGTCACTTTCAATTTCCATTTATTCAATAATCACTTTCAGATTTCAAAAAAAATCACAAAAAACAATTGTGTTTCATGTCCATTGATTAAAACTAATAAATGACTTAGATTGATTTTCATGTTCACAACCTTTTTATGATTCTCATTTGATTATATATATATATATATATATATATATAGGGGTTGGTTATTATACAACCCTTGACATTTGTGCAACCAATACAACTGATGTGCTAGGATCGTAAGTGTGCACACAGTGGGCATAAAATCCCCAAAGTGGTGGTGCAAGTGCACGCCGACACTAAGATCGCTTCAAGTAATAAAGTGGTATAGTACCAAGATCGTTTCCACAGGGACCGGACTTACTGAGAATCAGAGACTTTCATGAACTTCTTGAACAATGTTTCGGGTTGAG